GTGTAGTCTGGTAGACGTTTAACGACGTTTCGGAGGTACTTTCTGCCTCCATCATCAGGGCGCTGATGATGGAGGCAGCTGTGTGTTAGAGAACTTCTGTTAGGAAAATATTTTCGTAAATGTAGGAAAATTGTCGTTGTTCTAAATGGATGAAACGGCGAATAGGACCAGAACATGAAGTGTCATGAAGGCATATGAAGAAATTGTATCGAGGGGTACTTAACCTCGGATGTACTCCACTTCCTCCGGACTGAAGGTTGGCAGTCGTGATTTGAAGTAACCTTGGGTTCTGCTGTTTTGGGCCACCCTGTCTTTCACTACTCGAGGATAATCGCCTTCAGCACTGAAGATGGGATGGGCGAATATACCTATCTGTGGAGTAAATAGTTTATTTTTTCAAAATTATTTTCGCCCTTATAAGCGTCTTGGAGCAGAATTACTTTAATGCAAATGTCAGTAGTTCGTTTGTAGCTAAATTTTTCACCTTTTTTTTTTTTTTAGGTACCCAAAATTTTATTAGCGAGAGAAATTTCAGGTTTCTCGAGGCGGCGAATATGAAGATGCCGGTCCTCTGTGATGCTGCGGTCTGGTAAAAGTTTACCGTCGTTTCTGAGGCTCCCAGAAGACAATTCACCTTAGTGAATTACGACGTTTGCAAAATTCCTGTACTGCGGCTTCTTTGTAGCCAGTTTAATCCAGTCCACATCAAATCCTATTTCTGTCCATTTTAATATTATCTGTGAACTCAAATGTAGGACTGTGTTGCACGATGATGGTGGCCCACAAATGCTGTTTAAGACCTTTCTATAGGGCAATGTTACTTACGTTAAATTGTAGGAACTGTTCGCAAGCTGCGATGTCTTCTGCAGAATCTGATATTGGTTCGCACCAATTGCTGTTCAGAGCGATTGAAATTTTTCCTGTAAATACAGACATAAGTAATTCCAACAAAATTTTGACGTAATAGTTCTACAGCTTATCATATTGTGACATAAACTTAATGTAAAAAGACATTAGTGATCTACGTTCTACGTTATGTTGTCATGGTTACCGACGTTCCGGATGAACTTACTACCTTCATCTTCAGACGTTCAAATACTAGTTACTATAAGAACACGTGTCCTTGTCACTCACACTCTCAATAGTGCAGGAGATTCGTTTAAAAGTCGATGGTATACTCGTTTTGTCAAAGAATATCCCAGCTCATTTTCTTTATGGAACCCGAAGGTTCATCAACGTCTTCACAAAAGCCCGCCGCAGGACTGTATCATGACCTTGTGTCGCTGTCAGAGATATTTAAAATAGATCACGCATCGAATGGGCATTGGGGAAGTCCAAGGAGGCTTCAGGACTGTTTGAATAGGAATTGGTCTGTACGAAATGGTAATAAATACCTCCTTGCCTGCTTCTGAACACTTCGTCGTACAAGTGGTACGCCCTGGCATGTGCGAGGATTGTCGTGTGTGCGGCAAGGTAGTCGCCGATGCCCGTCGCATTTATCGCTGGAGCGAACCCTCTGCTGGTCGCATATCCTTGCATTACAATAAGAGGTTCGTTGATCGTGACCCAGACCTTGACCTGAAAACGTAGTCGATGAAATTGACTTAGTAGGTCTCTGTTTTAAATCACGTTTCATGTCCGATAAATCGCTTTTGTTATGTTTCCTTCTTTTAAGAAAACTGCGTAGCCAGGATCCATAATTTGCACGCGCGATCGCACGCACACACATATATATCTTATTCGGCTCATACATTTTGGCATACCTGTATTTATTTTAAATAAGAATCCGAGCTGAACTCACCCTGTCTCCAAAATATGTAAAAAGCACGCGAGCGTAATCCTCAAAATATTCTGCCAAAAGCAAGTTCGCCCATCCTCCAAGATCTTGGAGTGCCTGAGGTAAATCCCAGTGATACATGGTTATCTGGAACGTGATACAGATATACTTAGTGTCCAACAAATTTAATGTTTATTTTGAAATTTTTACGTATTTTGCTAAGGTTCGAAGGTACTTACCATTGGTTCGATCCCATTGGCTATTAGTTCGTCTATAAGATTGTTGTAATAATCGATACCAGCTTGATTAACTTTGTTGTCACGTCCTTCTGGAAGAATGCGAGCCCAAGAAATGGAGAAACGATAGAAATCTACCTGAAAGATGCAATGTATTTTTTTTTTTTACACGAGAGAATTTCCCTTCAAGCGTAACATTGAAATCTGAAATAATATTTAAATACTTGTATTTTTATGGAAAAATGTAACAAAGCGATATATAATAATTAAAGTCATTATTGCTTATCTTACCATAAGTACTTAAGCTGCAAAGAGTTAACACGATTTAACAGTTAAATAAATAATGTATTGAATTAAATGCACATAGCAGGTCATAGATTAATGAACAGACTTTTGTTTCAGTGTATTGTTTTCAAAAATAATAATATTATAATTAAAATTAAGTAATTTTGAGTAACAGAAATTTAATACAGTTACGTATCTTTGCTTAATCGTAGAATATAATACGATTTCATAAATTGCAATCTCAGGTATGATCTTATGTCGAGATTATTATAACTGTACCCAGCAGACCTTCTACAACACTGCCATGGCAACAGCTCAAGTTTGACAATGAGGTCTTTATGGGTTTTGACGCCGGAGGAAAATACTGTCACCATCGTCAGGTGTGAAACATTTCAATCATGAAAATGTTTATTTCACCGAAACTCTGGTATCTACCTATGAGTCTGCAAGGCGTCTCAACCGAGAAGAATGGCATTGCCGTCCTGAGAACCTCAAATCTCACACAGGGAACAAGTTTTCGAATATTAGAAGTGG